TATATATATATATATATATATATTGACAAAGTTAAATAATAAAATAAAACATTAAAATTAAGATAAAGCTTGTTATATTATGCGTACACCCTTCTAGGATTCTTAATGCAGTTTTAAAATATATACAATAACACATAACAAATTGACATGATAACGTTTTTATGACTTTATGAATTTTTACACTACCACGGATAAACAAAATAGTGATACATGCCACTCTTTCCGTCCATGGAACGATGATTATGAAGAGGTTAATTGCACCCTGTTATCATTCGTATCCCCTAACTTAGGGGTTGTTTAATTGGTAGTTGCTGAATGTTTTTGGTGCAGAATGATCAAGGGACTGTTTGGCGGTTTCTGAACTGTTTGATGCAGAATGGTTGTTGAATGAAATAATGTTGTTTGGTAACTGTTATCTGAATGACAACAAATTACCATTTTAATCTTCTGTATGATTTAGTACTGAATGAAATAGAGTTGTTTGGCATATATCTGAATAAAACAATTATTTTGCAAATATAACTACATATTTCATATTAATCCAAACAAACGTAACATTATTAGTTCAAAACAATATTTCATATTAATTCAAACAAACATAATTTTTCAAATTCATGAATAAACAAAAACATAACAATCAAATTCCAACATAATAGTTTTTTAACAATTCTTAATTTGACGGATTTAACATTAACTGATTCGCAATCTGGTCACGTAAATTAGCCATATATTGATTGTTTTGAGTACCAAAAGGCATTCCATCCATGTCATCTTCATCGCCTCTCTCGATTTCTTCTTGTCCCTCGGCAATAAATATGGGGTCATTGTCGTAATCCATGAATAACTGATCGTGGATATTGCATCTTCGTATAAAATCATGAACCGCAAAACAGACAATCATAACGTTCCTTTGTATGCGAAACGGATAGGGAGCCGTTTGCTTTAAAATTGGAAATCTTGCCTTCAAGACACCATAGGCACGCTTGATAACGTTTCTGAGTTGGCATGAGCATGGTTAAACCTTTCTTCTTTGGTCAAGGCATGTTGTCGTTGAAAATCAGCAAGTCAATACATCGTATTGCGACATGGAATCATAAAACCACGAGTATTGGCATAAGCAGCATCACAGAGATAATATTTATCTACAATCGAAATTTGAGTTTCAACCCATTATATAAAATGTATAAGAAATGATAAACATTTAAAGTTGAGTAAAAATTTTACATACCTCGTGGAGGAAATGGAAAGCCAGAGGTTGGACTAAAAGTAACTTCTCTCAACACTCTAGCATCATGTGCTATACCCTCCCATCCAATCCAAACATACGTGAAAAAGCATATTAAAATCACAAATACCTAAAACATTTCAATAACATTCACCTCTTCATCTACCTTTATGACGAACTTGTTGATCAACAGGCACGACTGCATGTATGAGAGTTTTTGTTTTCGTGTCTTTTACCTTTTTTTGTTTTTTTAATTTAATTTATTTATTTAAAAATAAAACATAAAAACTCGTAAAAAGAGTATCGAATAGAGAAATGTGAATATAAAAGCATCTTTTTTGGACTTTTTTATTTCATGACTTATATTAACATTAATCAATAATAATAATAATTAAAAAAAAAAAAAAAAGATTATTACCATCATCTCATGCTTATTGGTTAACAGTTAACAGAGATGACTTTTGTTCTAGAACCACGTACGATATTCATGGTGACGTAAGCAATGACATTAACACTCTGAAACCCTTGGAAACATCTTCAGTATTCTTTCATCACTTCAAACACAGCTTTCAGCTTTCCCTCCCTATAAATATACAAATACAATACAACCACCACAGCCTTCATTTCACAAATCACAACACTCAACAAATTAACACTCAGTCTTGAACTTAATTAATGGATGTCTCTGAAGTTGTCCTTCTGGACTTTTGGGCCAGTTTGTTCTGCATGAGGGTCAAAATCGCTTTGGCTGAAAAGGGTGTTCAGTACGACTGCAAAGAAGAGAACTTGGCCAACAAAAGCCAACTGCTCCTTCAAATGAACCCGGTTCACAAGAAAATCCCAGTGCTCATCCACCATGGAAAACCCATCTCTGAATCCAACATCATTGTCCAGTACATCGATGAAGCCTGGCAAAACAAGCATCCGCCATTGTTGCCTTCTGATCCTTATCTCAAAGCCCAAGCCAGGTTCTGGGCTGATTTCGTTGACAAGAAGGTACCCATCATTTGTCATATATTTCTTTTGAGGTTCTCGATCGATCTAATTTGTGTGGAAAAAAACACGCAGATAAATGATGGTGCGAGGAGGATATGGAGCACGAAAGGAGAAGAGCTGGAAAAGGCAAAGAGGGAGTTTATCGAGTGGCTGAATGTGTTGGAAGAGCAGCTTGGGGATAAGGCATATCTGATGGGGGAGAGCTTTGGGTATGCAGACATTGCGATGGTGCCTTTCTACTGCTGGTTTTATGCATTGGAGACGATTGGGAAGATGAGCATAGAGAAAGAGTGCCCCAAAGTGGTTGCATGGATGAAAAGATGCATGGAAAGAGAGAGCGTCTCCAAGTCTCTTCCTGATCCCCACAAGGTTTACGAGTTTCGGTTGCAGAAGCTCAACAATAAAACCACTTAAAATTACTCATAATATATATATATATATATATATATATATATATATATATAGAGAGAGAGAGAGAGAGAGAGAGAGATATGGGGATTAACGTGTTTTCGTGAGACCCGTAAGAATTATAATACAAATAATAATAATTAAAAGTAAAAGAAGACGCTAGGAATGATAATATAGTACAAATAATAATGCTTTAAAAGTTTTTGTCAAATGTTTTATTTTTATTTATATATCCGATGATCCGTTGGTGTTTGTTAAATTTAACGAGGGATGTGATGATTCAAGTCCTAGTAAAACATACCAAACTTGCTTAAAAGTAGGATTAGAATCGTATGAACTTGCTTGAATTGTCTGGAATGAAGAAAAGGTTGGTCTTTGTGATATAATGATTTATACAATATGTGTTTGTAAAATAGTGGTTGAAAACCTAACCAACCTCGTCAACCAAACTCAACCCAACGTAGAATAATTCAACCCGATGTTTAATCGAGTTGTGAAATTTTCAAACCGTCGGTATTGAGTTGATATTAGGTTATTATTATTTGAATTCAACCCAACTCGATGAACCCGGGATCTTTTTATTTATTGAATTTAATATGATTATCGAATTTCTATTAATGTATAAATTAGACAATTACACTATCACGTACACTCTTTATATACACATAATTTCAATTTATTTACATCTATATATAACTCATTCGTATATATGTTCAATAACTGCGTACACATATGCAAATTGAAAAAATTAATTGAATGTGATATACGTAAAAAGTATGGATAACGATGAAAAAGAAATTACGAGTAGAGAAACAACGTATTAAATGTTAGAATAATATTTTAATGTACCAACGTATCAATCCGGCCAACCCTTACAGTTTGATTTGGATTGCACTTTGGTTTAGGTTGGGTTGAATTAAGATTTTTCAAACCACAAGTATTGGGTTGAGTTCTTCAAATATCTTAAACCCGATTAACACAACCCATGAGCACCCCTAAAAACCACAGGAACTCATGGCGAACTAAATCCAAGTTTTTAAAATTTAAAAACTGGTAAAATTGAAAACTTTGGGGACCAAAGTTAAACTTTATTCCAAATAAAATATAGAGCTAAACAAAGTGTTAGAATTTGAACACTTAAAAGAAGTAAAATATTAGCATTTTAAGGGTTACGAAAAACGAGTCGAGCTTTTAACGACCTACTTGAGTTCGAGTTTGAACTTGATAATTCTAGAACTTGAGTTGATCTCGAACATAAAAATAGAACTCGTCTGACTTAACGAATCGAGCTTCATAACATCAAGATTCGACTCGTCTCGGACGAAAACTCGATTAAATACTCCGAGTACAGCGAACCATTAGAGCATATGTTTTCTCGAGTTAAACATGCTCATATGTTCATATAAAAAATATAAAAGTTATCAACGTCGAGCTAATAAACGAGTAATCCATCGCGAGTTTGAGCCTATAAACGAGCATCGAACTCAAACTCGATAACTTAAAAAAACATTCGAGCTCGAGCCTTATATTAAAAAAGTTATCAAGCTCGACCTCGGGCTCGATCCATATATTATTTTCTCGAGCCGAGCTCGAATAACCGACTAGTCGACTCGACTTGACTCGGCTCGGCTCGTGTACACCCAATACTTTGTGTAACTACACCAACTTATTAAACTTTGGTGGTCATTTTGCAAAAAAACAAAAAGTTATATATTATAATATCGATAAATATAGAAAAGAAGCTAAAACCCTAACCGGCTCTTAACAGGCTCTCTCTCCCGTTCTTCCCTGTTGTGCCCTCGCCCATCTCTGCCGTCACCGGCACCGCCGCTTGCTGCCGTTCCTTAGCCACCGAAAGAAAATAGCTCTCCGTTGTCTTTGAAGTTAAGGTAACAGTTTTGTAAATTATCGAAATCATGAATGTAATTATTGGTTGGTTTGTGTGACTAGGGTTTAACGATTTTGGTTGATTAGGTCAGGTAGATGATTTTGGAGACTTAAACTGCCTGTTATTCAGTTGTTTAGGATGGACGTTTATTGTTCTTATTTAGGTTTAGTTATTTTGTTTTCCAACGTTTATATTTGTATATGATCAAATGTTTGTTTGTTTCGCTAATTCGGTTTAAATTTTTTTGGTTCGTATGATGGATGTAACAAGTTCAAATTAGAATGTTTATGTGTTCTGTTATCAGATTTTAAAAATGAATGCGTTGCCTAAAGACGAGTATTCTGACTTTAGATTGTTTGGAACGGTATCTAGGGTTTTATTGTTAAGTGCAATGAGTTTAGTTCGTTAATTAAGGTAATTATCTGTTTGTGTATGGGTTTATGGATTTCTTTTTATCAGAATGTCCAGTTGATGCATCTATTTGTAAATCATAACCCCAAAATTTGCTTTTTTTAACAGGTGAATTTGAAAGTACAAAATGCAGAATGACGAAGTTATATGGCAAGTCCTCAGGCATAAGCACTGCAGTTTTATGACCAAGTGAGTCTTGAGCTATCTTTATTGATTCAGGAAAACAGGACAAGACGATACTTCGTCGTTACTAACTTTTGGGAAGTTTATTTCTAATGCTGCCTTTCTGTTTTTGGTTTTAATGATTTTCTTAATCAGAATTACCGCTGGAATTTTTTGTCGGAACCCTTACAATTTGACTGGGATTTGTAACCGGAGCTCATGCCCACTTGCCAATAGTCGTTACGCTACCATTCGTGATCATGATGGTATTGTCTTTAACATAGTTTTATTGTGATTTCTATTTCTTATTTTGTATTTGCTTTGGAACTGAAATATTTGGTGCGTTTGTTGCATGATTTCCATTGGCTTCGTTTTTATAATTATATGTGTTAGTTTTGGTGCTGTTAATACAGGTCTGACCTTGTTTGGCTTTCTTTTGAATCAAAATTTTACGCTGGTCATGCATGCAATTGCAGGGGTATAAATTGGTTGATTTTGCATGTTGATGTGTTTTGGTTTGTCTGGGTTAGGTTTGAAAATGGAATTCATGGAAGCTGCAGTTATTATATTAAAGTATAGTCCGGGGAATGAATGACCAAAGTTTGCAGTCAGGGACCTGTATTTTCTTATTAGCAGCTAAAGTGTACGAAGATGTTGATTGTGAAGTTGATGATAAAGCAAACACTCCACTGTTAAGCAGATTCTCATAATGATTGTGTGAATAGATGTCGACATGGGATACACATACACTGTTAAGCAGTTTCCATCTGAAGACCGTATGGAGGAACCCAAAAGGACAATCTAAACATGTTAATCAGTAGAAGAATTAAGAGCTTGCATAGATGTAGTATTATGTGGAGCAAGACAGTAGCCTGTGTCGTGAGAGGAGCTAGAAGAGCTCACAGAAGTAGATGGATCGGGAATTGGGTAGTTCAAAATTATATACTGAATTGGAACCATGCTATTGAATATGGTTTAGAATTCTTAATTAACTAATTGAAAGGCTAAAAGGTAGAGAAGAATTTAAGGAAGGTGCAGGACTTGCTTCAATCAATGTGTACTTAAGGGTTATGAAATGATCTTTACAAGTTGGCAAGTTAATGATATGAACAAAAAAGAAATTTGGAGGGTTTACTTTGGCAAGTCTTGTTGAACATTTAAATGTTAGTTGGAAGCAGAAGAATTTTTTCTATACATTTTTTATATCAACAGAGAGTTGTAGCAATAAAGGATGGAAACTTGGAAAAAGAACTGGTCTGAAGATACGTGTCTCTGAGTTTATGGAAAGCAAATAGGATGCATCCTTAAGTTGTTCACGTTTTCTTCCAATAGCACCATTAAGCAATTTGGATAATTGTTCCAACTGTAGTGTAGCAAGCTTAGAAGCCACGCCAGGAAGTTGTTGAAAATGTTTTCATAGCTTGGTTATCATTTGCTAAAGGAGGAAAGTACTGTGCGCTTTAAAGTATGTGGAAATAGTAACTTTGGCTTGAAACTGATTTCTATCTGGGTATGATTCTTGATATTCTCGATTACCATGTTCAATGAACTCATTGTGCACTAAAAGGGTTGATGGCTTTGAGCATGATGAAAGGTGGTAGGACAAGTTAGTTGGTGAATTGCATATCTTCTGTTTTTATCTGCTTCTGTAACATTTGTGTACTTTTATCCATTATCTGGGTTTTTACACTATCCATTACTTTCTTTGTTGCAGGAGTCTTCTACTTGTATATGAAAACTATAGAGAGGGCTCATATGCCAAACAAGTTGTGGGAAAGAGTGAAATTGCCTCGCAATTATGAGATGGCACTAGAAATTATTGACAAAAATCTGGTATAGAACTTTCTTAGCTCATTCAACATATGCAAGTATGTTGAGAATTTTATATGGAGAAATTAAAATTCCAAATTGTAATGAGTTTTGCAAATTGAATCGACAGATGTACTGGCCGAAGTTCCTTGTACACAAGGCAAAGCAGCGGCTGACTAAAATGACACAGATGCGGATACGCATGAGGAAGCTTGCCCTTAAAACAAGGTTGGTGGATACCTTTTTTATTCCATTTTCAAAATAATAATTGGACCACCTGCAATCTACCACCTATTTGATTGACCATGATCGGGGTTCTCCATGAATTGGTTTAAGTGATTATTGTTGACACTCAATATTCGGAAGCATGTGGGCTTTACTGCAGGTGAAGAGCCAAATTTAGGACAAAGCCGGGTTTCAAGAATATAAGAACCCATCAGCCCGTTTTCTAACATATAAAATGCTTATACTTCTTGCACATTATTACAAGTAAAAATCCCGTCAGTTAGTAGTTGTTTGGTACACATGTCAGTGATTATTTCATTTGCACTTTTTTTTTGAAAAAGATGATTAGTAGACTCGGTATTTCCTATTATTTTTGTAACATCCCTGACCAATCATACCAGATATTGTCTGCTTTATCCACACCTGGACTCACAGTTTTAAAGTGATTTGATAGAGGAGGTATCTACTATCTTGTCTCTTATAAGGCGACCTTTGTTCCCTCCCCAACTGATGTGGGATCTCACAGTCCACCCCCCCTCTGGGAGCCCAAACGTCCTCACTGGCACACCAGTCCACTTCTCGACTCTGATACCATTCGTACATTTCCGACCGGCCATACTAGATATTGTACTGCTTTATCCACATCTGGACTCGCGGTTTTAGAAGGCGTCTGGTAGAGGAGGTATCCAGTCCTTTATAAGGCAGGCAACCTTTGTTCTCCTCCCGACTGATGCGGAATCTCACCTTTTTCTATTGATGAATGGAGTTTTGACTTATTTAGGTAGACAACTTTCTATATAAACTGATCTATGTGGCCGTGTTCAATTTTATAGGGAGAAGGTAATGACAGCTCCTAGAAAAGAAAAGAAGAGAGAAGCTAGACGAGAGGAAAAGGCTGAAAGGGCAGCAGTTTTGGAAAAGGTTACGTTTCCAACCACCTGTGCTTCATTCGGATTCCTATAAAGCGTTTTTACAGCTCTAACAAGCAATGTTCTTGTTGTGCAGAATATTGAGAAAGAGCTGGTTGAGCGTGTACAAAAAGGAATGTATGGTGATTTATATAATTATCATACGGAAGCATTTAATAAATTTCTTGATGATTTTGAGGGACCAGAAAAGGATGTAAATGAAGACGAGAAAGAGGTTTGTTTATAATTCCTTTTTTTGTTTTTATATTTCTTTTTAAATACCTTCGGTGCACGGAAAGACCACCCTTGAAATCGTCTTTTCTTGCCATCCTTCCATTCTTTCTGTTAAACAGGTAGAAACAGAATTTGTTGAATGGAATGATGAATATGAAGACGAAGATGATTTGGAGGATTTCAATGGTCTTCCAACTGACGAAATTGGCTTAGATGATGATGGTGGTAAGACTCTTATCGATGTCTCTTGCAAGTCAAGTAAACTATTGGGTTGTTTGGTTGATTTTCTATTAAGTGGATAAAGCTGTTGGTAAAACTTGGGAATGTTTTCGTTTGGAGGGTTTTAACATAGATGGAATGAGCGTGTTTTTTAATTGGAAGGGGTAGGTTTGGAGAAAACTCAGGCTTTCTGCATTAAGCTCCCTCCTAAAAGGTTACCGAACAAGCCACTGTCTATATCATAAGCCACTACCATACAGTCATTTATGGCTGACTGAATAAGTTGGGAGTCCCATTAAGCTCATTAAGTTGCTAACAAAATGGGTCCTATATCGTAACGCCCCAAAATTTCTAAAACAATAAGTCAGGTGCCGTTACTTTAAAATTAAAACTACTAAGTCTTGATTATGAACTTGAAAGTTAACTTTATTTATAACATAGCTTATAATTACATCAAAGATGAAATACTAGCGGAAATGTAACTCAATAGCTTATAATACAATATAACTTGCTATTGATTAGTAAATACTAGTTCATGCAAATCTTCTTCAACCCTCGCTTGAGATACATACATGAGATATATAAGCTAAAAAGCTTAGTGAGTAATTATGGTTTCATGAATAAACAATTTTCATGATGCTTAACATTTTGTGGATAGTAATTCACTAGAACTCTTGATCGTGCACAAAATAATTTCATGATCATGCATAAACATTCTGTTGAGATCTCACTTGAAACATGTAATTATACCATACTTGTCTTGAGGTTTGCTAACCCCTGGGTCCACTAAGGCTGTCCCATAAGGTCCATTTGCAAGACGTCCCTTCTTGTAATACTCGTACGTTGGATATTTATGGTCTTTCGTGCCTTTGTAACACATACATGTATCATAACATGTAAACACTTTCATGCCTTGGTGTAAAACATATACTAGTATCAAAACGTGCCATCATGCATATCTTGAATATATGTAACATTTTCATGTAAGGCAAACATGTGAAAATGTCTTGTAATGCATAAAATACTTTTTATTGCATCAATTACTTGTTCTTTTTGCTCTCAAACGTGTACTCTTATGAGAGTTTTACACCTCCTACTTGAGGATAAGATAATCTTGACACCTCATGCTTTTCGGAAGAGAATTTTGACCTCATGCTTCTAGGAAGAGAATCTTGGCATCTCATGCTTCTAGTATTTCTTTGTCATGCTTCTTAGACTTGCCTTGTAATCAAATAGTCTTGCCAACTCATGCTTTTGGCCTTTACAACTCATTACTAGCTTGCTTAGTCTTGCTTAATCATCACATAGCTTTCCAACACACTTCTAGCTTTTACATCTCATCCCCTTAGGTTTAATTTCTCAAGCTTTTCGTTGTAAGCTATTTGCCTTGTAAATGTGATAGATTAGATTTATAAATGCTATAGCTGTTGGCATCTTTTTAGAGTACTTAAATAACTCATAACATCTGTATTTAAGCATAAAACATTGTAATTTAACAAATATGACACTAGGGTGTTACATATATGTTCTTAGAGCATTTCCACCAGTAGGTTCTTAAAAGCAAAAAAGTTTAGCTCTTACAAGTCACTACCATTGTGGAGAGTTCTTTTAAGTCACGCATATTTTTGGGGTTATCTTGAATTTTGTGTGAAATGATATTTTATGCGTTCTTTAATGAGTAAACTATGATTTTCATCCCTGTGGTTTGTAATTCTTTGCTCTTTTCGTCCCCGAGGCAATTCGATATAATTAAGTAAGAGGGACGAAAATAGCAATAAATTATAAACCATACGGACGGAAAAAGCAACGACTTATAAACCACAGGGACGAAAAAGGTAGTTTACTTATTCTTTTAATTGCTTTAAAAAGATATAAATATTTTTAATGGTGAAATAGTAAATGGGACCCACAAAAAAGTTCTTGTGAGTCGCTCTATTATGGGGTTCTATGGAGGATCTTAATTTGGTGAGTTGAGTGGAACCGGCAAGAAAAAGTACAAAAAGTGGGTTCTTATAAGTCACTTCATTGGAGATGCTCTTAATATCTGAATAACAGTATGAACACTTGCTAGATATATCAAATACTTTATTGTAAACATTAATAGATTGCTGAGTAAATTACGATTTTCGTTTATGTGGTTCGTTAATAATTTCGATTTTTGTCCTTGTGGTTTAGAAATTGTGATTTTAGTCACTATAGTTTGCAATTTATTGCTGTTTTCGTCCCTGGACTAATTCCTACCTTTAGGTAATAGGGACCAAAACAGTAAAGAATTGTAAACTACAGGGACTGAAAGAACAATAATTTGTAAATCATAAGGACAAAAATAGCAATGATTTACCAACCATAGGGACGAAAAACGTAATTCACTTTAGATTGTTAGATGTCCAATGATATGCAAACTGTACTGCAAAAATAGGTCTGTTATTTGAGTGTTAAATGGGTTTGTTGCATCTTTAATATCTCATTGCACCGAAGGGAGGCTGAATGAAACTGCTGAATGTTTAAATGGTTGATAACCTCTTAACGGGCTATGGCCGTTTCAACAGATGATGATGATGGCGATGATGATGATGATGATGCAGAAGAAGTGGCGGTGGATCGAAAGAGGGGGAGGACAGATTCCAAATATGCTTTAAAGAAGCAGGAGAAAGAAGCTAAAAAGAAGAAAGGAAGAGCTCTTGTGGAGGTAATTTTGAATTTGAAACCATTGGCCGTATTTGATGTTAATGATCCGAGTTATATAATCTAATAATTAGAGATGGGAACGATGTCTGGGATATCGGGCCCCGCTCCCCACTCCCTATCCCCATTGGGGAATCGAGGATTTTACCCCATTTACAAAGTTTAATTCTCTCTATTATAACATCCTTATAAATGTCAATTACACGTTTAAATGACATAGTATTTTAAAACTTCAATTAACCAAATGCTAATGGTTGTGTTTGCATAAGATTAGTTTGAAAAATAAACATATCAATTACATCAACGTTATATCACCAAAACCTTTTTCGAACAATCAAACCAATATCGTGAAAGATTGATTATATTTTTATGTTATATATACTTATTGGATTTGTCGTTTTTATAATATTGTACACACACATACACACATATATATACTTATACATAAGTAAATTATGTATTTAGTCCCTGTGGTTAATTGGAATTTTTTATTTTCGTCCTTGTGGTTTTGAAATTATGATTTTCATCCTCATATTGTATAATTCATTTCGTTTTCGTCCTCATGATTAAAACTTTATTGTCTTTTTTGTCTCTATGATTTACAATTCATTTATATTTAAGTCCTTACACTTAAAAAACAGTGTTTAACCTCAGGGATGAAAATAGAAATGAATTACCATAGGGAGTAAAACTGCAATTTCAAAACCACAAGGAACAAAGTCCGAAATTTGTAACAAACCACATGGGTGAAAAACGTAATTTACTCAAAGACTTGCTAATAGACACTCTGGCTCAGGTCCTGGTTTAAGGGGTATCCCCATCCCCGGTCAACTCGGGTTCGGGTATCGGGTTCTCCATTGGATATGTGGCTTTTTGTCATCCCTACTAATAATATGTTGATTTTGGTGGGTAGGTTGAGCATGAAGATTCAGATAGAAGGCAGAAGGCAACTATATGAATCAGAGAGGTGGGGTTGTCTGAATGATGATGTTGTAAAAGTTTTGATCTCCTTTTCTACCCTTTTACAACTTTGTTGTTTTTAATGATGATGATGATGATGATGATGATGATGATGATTTGTATTTGGGAATTTTACATTTTGATCAAGAATTAAGTTATAGGGATGGGAGAGATTAGATGTAGGTGCCTTCAAATGTCATTAGTTTTTTTGCAAACATTTTTCTTTCCAAGAGAGGTTTCTTTTTAACTTATGGATCTTTTTTAATATTTGTGTTGCTACATGATTGGCTTTGTGGAACTCTTTACGGAATCACTCCCTTCTATATTCTGGGTAGATGATAAATCTGTATACATCTTTGAGGCTGTTTAATCATTTTCTCATTAAGATGTTTACTTTTAGCTTAATAAGCTTATTGAATGGGCTTATTTGTACATACATTTTGGAGTGTTTATTTGTAGCTTAATGAAAAAAAAGTTGTCTTATTCGTTCAGCTATAATTGTTATTGTCTAGATTCAGCCATACAAATGACATCTCCTATCCTTGTTCAGTATCTTTCTCCATAGTCAAACCATTCAGGGAAGGGAAGGGAGCTTATTTTTTACCATTGATTTTCTTTATGAAAGTATATAATGTAATGAGTTGGGTTCTTATGAGAGTGAGAGTTATGGTGATAAAAGATCTTCATACTTGAATTAATTCTAATTCATGAGTTACACTACATCAATATTAATGAGAAACATTAAATCAATTCCCTTCTAAAATGCAATTCATGGTTTGGTTTTAGATTAAAGGTGATCAGGGTCTAAATCCTTTATTACATTTTCCACCTTTAACTCTTATTCTTACATGATCTTTCATTTAATATAATAAAGTCTACTTGTTTACTCTCTCTCTCTCTCTCTCTCTCTCTCTCTATATATATATATATATATATATATATATATATATATATGGTTGGGTTCCGGTTAGAGGAGAAATTATGATGAGAAGTGTAAGAAGAGATCTCTATCTTTGGATTAATACTAATTGAATGTTAACACTAATGATGTTTACCGAGATGCACCAGATTAATTCCATTTTAAAGCACAATTCATGGATGGACATGACATTAAAAGTGATCAAGGGTTCAAATCTCTTAATTTCCCTTCTCACACGATCTTTCACCTATATATTTATATATGACAAATACTCATCCATACTATTTCTTTATTTTTGGTGAAATTCGATCCTTGATCTTCTAGAAGGCTAAGTTCTACCGATAACTAATTACATTCATTCATTACTCCAGATGCTTTCATTTCCCAAATTCAATTGTTAAGTTCGAATCAGATTATTAATAAATCTGTTAATTTCGTGATCCGCTGCCAAACTTATTTCAAGAGAGCTCGGAATAAAAATGATATGGTTAAAAACATTCAAAGTAAGTCTCTGTATCTTATTGGTGGGCCTTCTACCTCCACGCGACATTGCTCCGTTAGGCTTTCGCGAAAAAAAAAAAAAAAAAAACCGGATGGTATAAATTTAAGAAAACTTGATTAATTTATTACAACGGTGTACATTGGAATAAGGGGCCGTTTACCTAAACACTTACCCGGTAAGTGTTTATTGGTAAAAATCAACACTATCACTTACTTACCGAGTAAGATTCGAGTCCACCAAAACGATATTGTATGTAATAATTTATCCGGTAAGCGCTAACCGTGGTAAGACTCGTCGTCGTTATTTATCAGGTAAGACTCTTGGTCCTTGTCTTTGCTCTTACCAGGTAAGATTCTTGATCTTTGTCATATTTATCCAGTAAGATAATATGACTTGATAAGCACTTACCCAGGTAAGCATTTGATAAACGGTCTCCAGTAAAGTTAATAGAGACCGGACACCCTTAAAAAAAAAAAAGTTAATAGAGACCGGAGAAAGAAAATTACTAATTTAAAAAACCAATCAAACTCTTTCGTACTATCGATTTTATTTAAAGGGAAAAGTACAATAAAAACCAATGAACTTTCTTGTTTGGAATGATTAAGTCCTTGAACTTTTTTTTGGAACAAATAAGTCCTTGAACTTTCCAAAACATGTTAAATAAGTCATTGGACAATTTTTTGGCTCAAATAAGTCATTGGACATTCCAAAATATGTTAAATAAGTCCTTAGACATTCCAAAAAATGTTAAATAAGTCATTGGACAATTTTTGAAACAAATAAGTCCTTGAACAATCCAAAACATGTTAAATAACTTCTTGAACTTTTATAAAACATGTTGGATACATTCTTATGACTTGTACAACTAGTTAAAATGGTAATTATTTTTTTGTAAATGTAAGTACTTTTTTGTTATATTTGTTTAATTTTATAGATCTAAATACTTTTTGGTTCAAAAAATATTTAGGGGCTTAATCGTTCAAAATATGAATGTTCATTGGGTTTTTTTCCCGATTTTTTTTCACTATTTTACCACTTTATTTTTTTCAAAAAGTTATTTAACATGTTTTGGATTATTCAAGGACTTATTTGTTCCAAAAATTGTCCAAGGACTTATTTAACATTTTTTGGAATGTCCAAGGACTTATTTAACATATTTTGGAATGTTCAAGGACTTATTTAACATGTTTTGGAAAGTCCAAGGATTTATTTGTTCCAAAAAAAAATTCAAGGACTTAATCATTCCAAACAAGAAAGTTCTTTTCCCTTATTTAAAAGTTGAACGTTGAGTTGATGCCCGCCAGAGTCAAAGTCAAATGTTTGACGAATTATACGGGAGATAAGTAAAAGGGGAGAGAACTCGACTGTTTCCACACTCAGACGAATAATGGAGGATACTCTCAAGATTGACGATGATGGCGATGAACTCAACCGAGAAGTTGTTAACATACTGAACAAGTCATCGGAGGAGATCATCGATAGGGTTGATCTTTCCGGTCACCAATTAAAGTTTTTTCCCGAAGAATTCGGCAAGCTTACCGCTTTAGTTCATCTCAATCTCTCCAATAATCACTTACAGGTTACGATCTAACATCTTCCATAGTTTATTTATGTTTATATCCGCTTTTTATGTATGAATCTTTTGATTTTCTGATCCGATTATGATCGTTATTGTTTTTAATATTCTAAACTGTACAATCCTTGTTCCTGCCTTCAATCTGTTTGTTATGATGTCCGAGTTACCAGTTTTGCTATGAAACGAGATTTTAGGTTTTTGAGTACTTCTTTTCTGTTTGTTTTTGAGGTCCCCAACTAGTTTTTAGGGTTTCATTTCAGGGTTTTCTTCAAAGTTGTGAGGATTTTTTTTTGTCAAACAGGTGCTTCCTGATTCAGTTGCAGGATTACTGAAACTGGAGGAGCTTGATGTTTCATCAAATCTGTTGGAATCCTTACCAGATTCGATCGGTTTACTGACCAATCTCAGAGTCTTGAATGCATCCAGCAACAAGCTTAACACCCTTCCTGAAAGCATCGCTTTTTGCAAGTAATATGTTCAAATTTCTAGTTTTTCCCATTTCCTGAATGCGCCAGTGAAATCATCGGTTCATTTTATGTAGTTGGATTTCCAAGAGAATATGGGGTTGTTAGTTAAGCATTGACATGGGCTTAGGAGGTATGGAGTGCACGCACACTCGTCTTAGCTAACTATAACATGGTAGTTTTTCCCTTTTCCTAGGGGAAGCGCCCCTGGCGGCTTCAGAATGTTCTAAGTGAAGTTCAGATGCAACTGAGTTCCTTTCGGAAAGCGTCTGAATTCCTTTCAGAAGCCACTGAGTTCTCCTTAGAAGCCTCTGAGTCTTGTTCAGGAGTAGTTTTGACTCTCTAGAGGCTTCTAAACCTTCCGGAAGCTGAAGCCTAAGCCTTTCGGCTTCGAACTTTTGAAGAGTCGGAAGCTTTAGCTTTTCGACTCTCGAGCCTTCTGATCCATGTAAGCAGTTAACTGTCCACTAATTACGATTTTCTAAGTTTAGAAAGAAATATCTGCCAAAATCATGACTAATAATTGAGATCGTGCTCAAATTAATTTCATGATACCCCGACAGAATTGGGTCGAAATATAACTCAAGGAAAACAAGCTCTAACGTAATCTCAGTTTTATCTCAAATTTTGATCTTCATCAACAGGTCATTGATAGAATTGCATGCCAGCTTCAATAACCTCGTATTCTTGCCAACAAACTTCGGTTACGGACTAGTGAACCTTGAAATCCTCTCGATCAGCCTCAACGAAATCCGTTTCCTTCCACCTACAATCAGCGAACTGGTATCTTTACGGTATTTCGACGCTCATTTCAATAAACTCCATGGCCTTCCATCTTCAATCGGGAAGCTAACGAATCTTGAGGTATTGAATTTGAGTAGCAATTTCAGCAATTTGACACAGCTTCCCGACACCATCACCGATCTTGCAAACCTCAAAGATCTTGATCTTAGCAACAACCAAATCCAAGCTCTTCCTGAAGCATTTGGTCAACTTCAAAACCTCATCAAATTGAACTTGGATCAGAACCCACTTGTGGTTCCTCCTATCGAGATCGTGATGGAAGGAACCGAGGCCGTAAAGGGTTTCATGATCAAGTGGACGCTCAAGAATATTGCCGCCGAAGAACAGCGGCGCGCGGTGGAAGCGAATGACCGGGATCAGGGTGGATGGTTGGCTTGGGGAACCAATATGGTTAATGCATACCTTGGCCAAGGTAAGCCTTCTGGTTCAAAAGACTCATATTTGGATCAGTTATTGTGATGTTCTAAAGAAATAACTTCAAAAACATCTGTTTATACAAGTATATCATCTCAGAACCAATTATACTGCGTCCTGTAAGCAAAACTTTGTATATGTTATATTATGGTGCATAAATTCTTGTTATTGTGATGAATGAAATGTCGATGTTGTTTTTATCAGAATATTTGTCGTTTACTTCATAGACGGACCTCAAACTTTTTCATTTAACTAAAGAAACAAGTATAGGGATATTTGTCATAAAATCATCACTGGTCTGTTGGTTAATTTATTGCTTTTCATATGTGAGGTCTTGTGTTCACATCTTTTGTTGCATTTTTATCCAGAAGCATAGTAAATCTGAAATTAAAAGGTAAAAACTAAGAAAATGACACTAACAAGATTCAAATTTGGGTCTGGATGGAAGAAAAAACTTGCAAACCAACTCCATAAAGGGGAAACCTGGCCTAGTGGTATCATAATCTCTGGCCTCCTAAGAGGTCAGGGATTCAAACCTTACCAAAGATGTATGAGTTTATTTGTTGCATTTACCGTGTATTAATATTATATACTTAAAAAAAATAGATACAGTAACATTTTTCACGATCGTATAATCTTTTACCATACGACGGTGGAAAAAAGCAATGGCCCGTGCCATCGCATCTAATACATTGGGTCCGTCCCAGCTTTACTCTATGGTTTTTACGTTATCGAAAGTTGCTTAATTTTTTGTTTTTTATGAGAAACTTGTTTAGGCTATGCTACATTTGTCTTAAATTAAAGAGTACTCGTTAATAATTTCGATTTTCGTCCTTGTCGTTTATAATTTTTTATTCAAATGATTTACAATTTATTGTTGTTTTCGTCCTTGGACTAATTCTTATCTTTAAGTACAAGGGACCGAAATGGTAAATAATTGTAAACCATAAGGACCGAAACAACAATAAATTATAAATTAAAAGAATGAAAATAACAATGAATTATCAACAATATAATGAAAACCGCAATTTCTAAACCGTAAATACAAAAATGTGTAATTACTATACAATTTAATTAACTAAATTATAATTTTCCGGTCAATACAGATAATAGTGAATTTCTCTATCTTATGATTAAGGTAGAATTAGAGAAATTAAAATAAAAAATAGACAGTTATTTTGAAACAGATTAAATATAAACTTTACCTTAAAAACCAGATATAAATGTAAACTTTAAATGATTGTCGTGAAAAAATTTCGAGCTCGGCTGCATCTGGATTGAATCGAGCTCCACTTCTTAGCCTTCTCAGACCGTTAGTTGACTTCTTAGCCTTGAAGAAGATAAGGGCATGGAGATTGACCCAGCTCATCGACCAGGAAGGTGGGAGAGCGCTGATGACGAGTATAGAGATAGTAAAAAGGTATATGAGGACGAAGAAGGTGATGGACCTAGATAGAACGCGGAGCACCGGCCTCGGCCGCCGATACAGTACCATGCTTACCAGCTCGCTTTCCTGCCTGGCAAAATACAGGGTTATCAGTCGGCTAACCACCTCTACCTAGCATTTTATAGGAGGGGATATAGCCCTTTTAAGGTCTTTTTGTCGATACAATTTTTGGGGCGTGGGAAATGCATCTCGTTGAATGTTTTAACGTGTCTCTCCACAAAGTCGGGTTTCAGTTTCCACCGAGATAAAGTTTGTCTCTCCTTCCATTCCTTTCGGGACCCGACACAAGGAGGGAATAAAGGCAAGCTACGAAGATAAATTTCATCAAAAAACCGAGTCTAATTCAATCCGTACAATTTGTATAATTAAATGTTTTTATTAAAAATGAACTAAAAAATGAGACGAAAAAAAAAAAAACTCTCCATACCAAAATAAATGTAGAAAATGAATAAAATACATATAGTTTTAAAAATGGCAAATTGTATGAAAAAGTAATGTTATTTAACTTGATTCATGTTTTAGGTAACGTACTTTCAAAACTTCCATTTTGGTATCTAAGATATAAAGTCTTAAAAGATAATTTTACCCTTGATAATAGAGAGATAAATTTTATCTAGGGGTGTGTGCGGGTTGGTTGGGCTGTTTACGGTATTTATACGACCCGACATAATTATGGTAGTTTGGAAAAATCTCAACCCAAACCAACTCATTTGAAAATATGGGATCAAACTATAAAGTGTTACAGTAGGTTTATAGGACATTTTACGGCGGGTTTGATGGGATGGCGGGTTAGCAGTTACATAAATTTGACGAGGATCAAACTATAAACATCATATATAAAAGTGTTACAATAAGTTTATAAGACATTTTTGGGCGTTTCAACAAAAAATTTAGATCGTTTTTGAATAAAGTGTTGTATTAACTATTTTATAAAACAATTTTGAGAAATGTTTTATAAACTCGTCTATTTTATAGAACATTTGTGTCCATATACACTTTCAAGTAGTGTCATATAAAATAACTAATTCGACATTTTATTTTTAAAAGCGTCCTAAAAACTTGTTAAAATACCAAAAAACGTTCTATAAACATATTTTAACAGTTTTATATATGACGTTTTTTAGTTTCATCCTATAAACTTAAGTATAATAAAATATCTCATTAGAATACTTAAACATTTTAGACGTCCTATAAATGTAAAACTATAACTATTAGCATTTTTTCCCCACTAAAATACAACATCAAATGATGGAGTCTTTGAATTGATAGATTCGTTAACCAAATATCTATAACATCATTTATATTCTTTGGCACATCCATTTGCTGTTGTTGTTTACCGAGTTGCATTTAATTGGTTTGTTAGCAGGTTGATTGATTTGACGATTTGTTGTATACCCCTAATTTTATCCCTCTCGTAATTAAAGGTATAATGAGAAATATACATACATACATTATTATTTTTTTAAGTTTTTATCAGTCTCTTATGTCTTATTCGTTAAGAAAGACTAGTTTTTTGGATCCAGATAATACGAAGTGATGAGTTAGTTATAACTTCTATAATTCAGAGACACTTATGTTTTATCGTTAGTTTATCTGATAAAAGGTAAACCAACCTCTTACTTGCCTTTTATTGTTCTCCAGACTTTCAACAACGACGTTTCTCAATCGATTGACCTTAGTCGATCATTTCTCTTAGTTGATGTATTTTGATAGGATTTAAACGTGTTAAATACCGTCAATGACATATTTTCGTTTAAATAAATGTTAAATATATCATTAAATGTAAATTTCGTAATGATAATGAATAAATATGTGAAATTTGTATAAATTTATTTATAAATTCAATACTATAATTTTCTGATGGATAAAATAGACAATTTAAACGTTTATCAATTTACAAAAAAAAAATATTTTACTGATTCATCTTTCAGACTTCAACACCTCCACTTATCAATCAGCAGTAAAATAAAACTTTAGACTTCAACACCTCTTAAAAAAAAGGGTACCGAATAAACTTCTTGTCCATAACATACTAAAATCCAAAGCTATGCCATTTTGGTTCAATCTTTAGATGAAACATTTCAAGAAATCATCAAAGTTTGGTTTGCTTTTTCTTGAACCTAATTAGGGTTTGGGCGGTAAGATGTTCAACTTTACACGATAAAATTCCAAACCGACCAATTAAACCAAATGGATGAAACATCCAAAAGATTCCCATCGTTATCCCGAAAGCCACGAAAACTGAGACAGAAAAGAAACCACCATGGACGTCCTTTCCTTCTTTCTTCTGTTAACTGTTACCCTTTCTTTCATTCATCTGATCAAATCCCAAATGGGTCTCTCTACAAAAACCCTAATTTCAATTGGGTATCCATCACAATCCATCAAGATCAACAATATCAAAACCAAAGGTATAATCTCTTTTTCTAAAAGTTCCTATTCATTCTGTCTCGTCCTTGTTTCCTTTGATTCCTAAATCAGATTACCCCTTAAATTGGAATGTGATTACCAAGTATTTTGAGTGAAATTGTAACACAATCTGTATCAGATTTGAAATTTGGAAGTACCAATTTGGCAATTTTGACTTTAGAAAGGTCAAACTGGAGGGTTTTTTTGATGTTCTTGGGTGTGTTTTGTTGTAGCTGGAGTGGACAAAAGAGAACCCATTAGTGAAGAGGATAAGATTGTGGAGGTGGTTTGGTACTTTGAATCAAATGCCAAGGAATGATTATGTTTCTAATGACTACAAAAGCTTGCCTAGAGTTTTCCTTTTTGAACCTGGTGGTTCTTCTGCTGAGGTATCATTCTTTCATCTCTGTAACCCTTTAAAGAATGGTTCAGTTTTTGCAAATTTTGGTGTTTTTGTTGCCATTTTCAAGGACCCATTATTAGTTTGCAACGAAAAGATGAGGGTAATGGGTCAAATGTTGATTGCATCCTTTTTTATCATGAAAAAATGGTCTGAAAAGTTGATCAATTTTGGTTATATTAGCTAAAGAACTCTAGTGTATATATATATGTATAGTATGTATATGTATATATGCTGCCAGATGATCATTTGATTCAAGATGTGATCCAAGATAATTGAATGGGCTTTTTTCCTTCTTGGGAATTGATCAATTAGATAGATTATCAAGAAAATGTTACAATCTTGAGTTTCGAAGATTCATGTTGGGTTGATATTGAATATGACACACCATATTATTCTTTGAGCAAAAGGTTGATTACCGGCAAGCCCAACTGCCCCACACAGAATTCGTGCGCTAGGAACCACATGTGAGTAGGCATTTTAGAGCTGACTTAGAGGTTGAGGCTAGCGGAGGGGTTCAAGCCTGTTTCCCACATGATTCGAACTTGAACCTGTTGTGTATTTGAGCAAAGTCACTCTGCCCCTTTGCCAACTTAGCTACACACCCGAGGGCACACATCATATAATTACCAAAAGTAGATATGCATTTAAAGAGTTGGATTATATCAACAATTTTGTATTTTTCATGTTTCAACCAACCTAAAGTGAAGTCTAAAATTTCATGGTCGAAGCCATGGTAGAAATTCTGAAACATGTGATTTAATAAGTAAAAGTTCTCTTATCTTACCTCCTTTGAATGCCTATGTTTTCGGATTATGAGATTCTTGCTTTTGGACTGAATGCTTCGCGTGTTTTTCATTGAAAATATAAGTTAACGGTTTGTTGAAATGGATTTGTCTGCTTCTTTCGTTATATGTTCAAACTACCTTCGATCCCTTGTGTATTAC